AAATTAATTAATAATTCCAGTTTTTTTGTATTTTTTTTAATGAAAAATTTAAACAAATTCAAACATGTAATTTTTCAAACGGTGATTTTGGTAATCACCGAGCAGTTCTACATAGGAATTGTATAGTGGCATCCATTAAACCGTGCTATCGCAAAGGGCTTTATTAGCAAGTCGCACTTCTACGTGCGCACACTGCAGATTTTTAGTCGGGTCAACTCATCATAGGTACCGCTACTTTGGTTTTGCCAATTTGACAACTCTCAAGTAAAAGTAAACAACGCCTCAGAAACTTTTCACCATACTTTCACAAAAATAACTGGCTTTTAACACTTTATTTATTAATTCGGTTTATGAATAATACATATTATATTCTTACAATATAACACAATTAAACCTTGTTTCCTATCGAAAAATTAAATATTGATAGAACGTATTGCTTTGACAGTAGTTGCGTTCGATAACAAAATTAGCCAACACCAGCCAACAATCAAAATCAAGAGAGTAAGCGAAAATTCTCTCCCAAAGACATGAAAAAGCAAAAAAGTAAACGAACAGGAAATTAGCCATTACTTGCAAAAACCGGAAGAAGAAGACACACCAGCTGACTTTGTTTATGTTTTATTTGTAAACAAACTGAAATTCATGTTGTCTCCATAGAAGGAAAAAGGAAAGTGAACGTTCAATGTTCGCCAGAAACATTTTTAGAAGTAAAAACTAGTTGGCGCTATCATAAAGTCACATAGCAGGCAGCCAAAAGGCATATAAATACCAAAACTCGGAAAATGCAATTTTGTTTGTTTACAAAAATTGCAACTATATGTTTTGTGATCAATGTTTTCGTGTTGGATAATTTTTGCTGACTAAAATTTTGCCAGTACAAAATGAACGCTTCTCTGGCATCAAAATGCCAATGCTCTCTCAATTTTTGTATGTTGGATAATTTTTTGTCGTTATCGAACGCCATGCAGTAAAAATTTGGAAAAACTATTACAAATTTTTGACTTGTCGAACGCACCTAGTTTTTTTTTTTATCTTCTTAAATATTCGGCTTTGTTTAGTTTTACTTGAGGTATGTTATCGGGGCCAGGACAGTGCAATCTTGTATTCCATCATTCTTGGATAAGGATGCAGAATTTAGTGAATTCAGCTTCGTTGGCTTTCGTTTGCTCCTGTATTCTCTCTGCTGAATGACGCTCATGCGCTGACTCGCTGGTCTATTCGTTCGTGGTGAGTTTTCCTATAACTTAGTGTGAATATTGAAGCTCGTAGTCGAACGATGCCGCGTTGTATGTCAGTTAACTCGGGAGCGTGGTGTTGTAAGAGTTATGGCAAGCGTTGTCGCACATACTTTCCAGTAAAAATAAAATACAAATTAATTTGCAGTAAGAGAAGTGATGAAATATGAGAAAAAGTAGTGAAAAAACAAAGGAAATGAAATTATCCACATTACAGTGTACAGTGAAACCCGCTTAAGTACCCCCCCCCCCCCCGCTTAAGTAATCACTTTTGGACACTGTGAATGTTTTAATATAATCAGAATAAAATCCCTCTCTTAAGTACCTCCCGGCTTATTTACCCAACCCGCCTAAGTATCTCAATTTTTCGTGCCCCATTTACAATTTTACTTATAATTTTCCCCTTTTAAGTGCTCTTTTAAAATTCCTCAAAATATTTACGTATTTTCAAATTCGGTAAAAGAGTTCTAAAAAATCAACGGTAACTTTTAACCACTTGAAACTTGCACATTATTGCACTAAAATTGAATGGACTATAAAACTGTATACTCAAAAAACACTTCTGAGAAAAAAGTTTGAAATTATGATGATTTTTTTTTTTAAGTGTTCTACAAAATCTTAAGCTTAGGTTTATATGGTATTTGTTAGGGAATGAACTGCATTTTAATTGATCGAAAAACCTTAAGAATTTATAAATAAACATAAGTGACAAACAATATCATTTGAATATGGTACAAAATGATATGTCCAACCCTGACTTTTTAAACATTTTAATTCTTGTAAAAATAACAGACCATTGCACTAAATATTTTTTTAATAAAGTTTTTCTTTACTTGTTTATGTGTTTAAATAATGCTACGACTTTGGTTTTAAACAATGTATTCTTCATTAAATGTTATTATTCAAGTATTTATGTAAGTTAACAAGAAGATGTAACTACATGAGTAATTATGTTCTCTTAAGTACCCGCATCGAGGTACTTAAGCGGGTTCTTTTAAGTACCCAACCCGCCTTAGTACCTCAAAAAGCTGACATTTTTCGTGAGGTACTTAAGCGGGTTTTACTGTACTTAAATAAGAATTTGAATAAAATTGAAGTTAAAATGTTTAATGAAAAATTTAATTAAAAAGAACTCTGAAAAAAAATATTTTAATACAAAAACATTTGTTAATCATATATTTTGATTTTGATTTTGAAGAATGTCTGATTTAAGATAGGTTTTGAGTGATTTCATATTTTTGCTTTCGCAAAATGTCGCGTCAGCATTGGCAGCGATAGCATATGACGGGTGACATGCAAACAATCACGAAGCAACAGCGGTTTCATTGGGTGGGTGACGAGAACTATGTGATGCATGTATGTATCTATGTGTGTGAGTAAGCAATGATTTGAACTCAATCCATAAATCTGATTATGTTAATGTGCGAGTCAACAGACATCATGTGGTGGACAATGTACTCGAAAAAAGGCAAATATACGAAAACAATAGAACTAGAAGAGCAAAATCCAAAATAAGCTGAAATTCAACAAAAGTGTTTAAAGTTACTAAAGTTATTGGGTCAACGAGAAGAAGGGTAGTATATGTATTTGTATTTTATGTATCTATGCAACTGTTGGTGCTATCTAACAGAACGAATTCTTTTAATATGACCAACTATTACACTTAATAAAAATATTTAAACAGTGTTTTTTCTATCTTGGAGTGCTGTGTTACTATTATTTAAAAAATTGCAGAAAAAAGTTCAAGGATAATATAAGAGTGGCATTCGTGATATTTTATCAACGGCTTACGCCGAATAAGAGTTATTCTAGAGAAGCACTTCGTTCGTTAAAGTAGCAACGGTCAGTGCACAATCTATTTAATCGCAAACTAAAAAGAAATCATAAAAACTGAAGTTAAAAAATCATCCAGCTAAGATACATCCATGATTAATATTTTTCGTATACCGAATACAAAGCTGCTCTAAAACTTTCCACTAAAAGTGATATTTTTCCTTATAAAATATAATTTATCAGGTATGTTTTTAAACCTAACTAACAAAGGTACATAATAAGATAAGCGTTTAATACGTCAATAGTTTTTCATCATACCAATTTGTATAGGTTCACTCTTAAAACCAACCTCACATATGTGTGTATGTACAAAAAACCAGGAGTCAAAAATAACCTGCGGGGGGAGGGGAGGGGGAGGAGGGGTGATACGGATTTGTAAGTATACAATTTTGAAAGTGCCCAGTGTCGCGGCGGTCCGCGTTCGCGCGCCGCGTTCGACGTAGCGCTCGCGTTTTCCGCCCCTTCTCCTCCTTTCGCAATTATGCCTTGGTGGCAGGGGCGCACCCAGGAATATATTTTAGGGGGGTTTTATATTTCTGAAGATATATCACCGGAAAATACTGAAAATTTGCTTCAGATAATACCCTCTTTAATATACATTTATGCAAGTTTTATGTAAGGTATGTAATAAATAAATAAACGTTTTAAAATTCATAAACTGCACTTTATTTACAGATTAACAGAACTCAAACGCTTTTAACCGACTTAAAAAAAAGGGAGGTTATCATCTCGCCGGAATACATAACTTTGGACCACGTGAACCGTTTTCAATAATCCTTTTTTTATTAGAAAGATAGTACCTCAAGGTTCGTCCCGTAATTTGTTTTAGAGATCCGATGATTGGATCATGAAGAAATTAACGGTACCCCTAAATTTGAATATGAGAATTGAAGTCGGTTGTGTTCTTTCCTTAAAAACTACTTGCTTAATAAAAAGTTCTATAAACTCAAGATGCGCTCAACTTTCAAAAGTACCTAATAAAAAATTTTAAAAAAAGAGTCAGTAAAAATAAATTTATTGATTCCATGAAGTTTTGCACTTCTATGTTCATTTTTTCGATTTCTGATTTTCGATAGAGATGGTGATTTTTCACGATTGCTAAATTTTTTTAATATTTCAAATACCGGAAAAATTAACTGAACTCTCAAGAAAAACGAAAAATTCATATAAAACGACGGACGAGAAATGGAAAAAAAATTTTCTTCTACCAAAATTTCTTAAATCAGTTTGCAGCTCTCAAGAAAAAAATGCTCGTATATTTATTCCCTCATGAAAATTTACAGCAAAAGCAAAGCGCTTTTTCAAGCAACAGAAATTATAATAAATATTTCTTATAATTTCCTTGAGAGCTGGATTCTTAGCTTTAAGATACAGATTGTATTTGAGGTTATTAGCTTTAGGGGGGGTTTGAACCCCAAAACCCACCCCTTGTGTGCGCTAATGCATATGTAAGATTCGAATCTTTTCGCAAACATTGAAGCGTCCGGCGAGAAATGCCACCGTCGGCGCTTTTAAATATAAAACAATATTTTAAGTATATATTGGAATAAAAAGAAAATGAAAGCCTTTTCTTAACATTATGTTAAATGCTAACATTACAAGCTTCACTTGTATGTATGTCCTGGAACTTTGCAATCAATATTTAACAAACTTCGCGATGAGCTACAGACTTTAAACTTCAAACTTAGCTCAGAACTCAAGGACAATGCAATATAAAAGACGGCATAGTCCGCTAGGTGGCGCAGGAGTAAAAATATGTGTAAAACCCGCATTTATAGTCTGATGTGGTTCATATTTAGAACATATATTACCTGTATGAAAAGGAATATATCCTCAGAAAATTTTGCCGATAGGTGGCACAGGAGTCGAGATATTTGTAAAAACCGTATTTATGATCCGATTAAGTTCACATTTAGAATGCATATTGCTTACATGAAAATAAATAACTCCACAAAAAATGTTGGCAGTTATGTGGCACGTGAGTCTATTACTACGTTTATACGCATGTATTATTTGCAAATAACAATTTGCAAAATGGTAAACTTTGGCGTATAAACGCTGAGCTAAATTTTTATTTGCAAATAACTAAATCACGCAAAAGTATTGATTAGTGGTACTATTTGCAAATAAGCGCAAGACGCCGCCATTCTTAGGTTTATTTTCATTTTCGATGGTCACCTTATTGCCTTTTTATAATCAAGACGTTGCCATTTTTACCTTTATTTTCTTTTTCGGTGGTCATATTATTGCCTTTTTACAATCAGGAAATATTAAAAAAGAATTTTTCACCATCGAATCAACAGTGAGTTAGGTATTTACAAATTATTTTTATTTGCAAATAGCTTACGTATAAACGTAGCATATATAATTAAGAAATCGGCATATGGGCTCCGATTTGGTTTATATTCAGAATATTTGTATTACCTATTTAAATCTGGCCAAATTTTAGATGAGATCAAATGTATGCAGAATACCATCAATACGTGTAAACTTTGGAAATGAAGGCATACATGTAATACAGCCAAAGTCAATACAGTTCCCGGCAAAGTTAAGTTACGGAACCGCTGAAATGCCGCCAGAAATTCTATCATGGGCATCAACAGTGCATAAAATGCAAGGTAGTACTGTATACTACGCTGTTGTATACCTAGGATCAAAGCTGTTCGCAAACGGTCAAGCCTAAGTCGCTCTTAGCAGAGTAAGATCGCTAGAAGGACTGCAGATAGAGGAACCGCATAACTCGAAACTGACTGGAAAGAAGCCATGCAATAACGATGCATTGAAAGAAATGGACAGAATGATAAATATACAGACAGTATAATATTAATTGCAAGATTTCCAAAGACTAAAAAGTAGAAAATAAAATTATAGTTAAAAAACTAAAAACACGCTTTTATTACATCAAGAACTAAAAAGTATAAAATAACTTGTAGATATAGCGATTCCGTTTAATAAGAATAGGAAGTTCCCTAACTTGATTTAATTTAACTTCTTTAAATTAGCTACAAATAAGATTAAAGTGATTGGCCCGTAGTCATAGTCAAAATAAAGTCCACTGTAAAGTTCGTAGCAGTTTTTTTTACAGATATCCCATTGAAAATTATGTCAAAAAGCTGCAGCAAACTTAACAGTGGCCTTTAATTTAAAAAAGTTAAATTAAATCAAGTTAGGGAACTTCCCATTCGTCTCAAACGGAATCGCTATATCTATAAATTATTTTATACTTTTTAATTCTCGATGTAATAAAAGCGTGTTTTTAGTTTTTTAACTATAATTTTATTAAAAGAAAAAACTTCACAAGTATTCCTCTACTTCAAGAATGATAGAATACAAGATTGCGCCGATTGCAGCAGAATTCGTGAGAGTAATTTTAGCGTGACGTCATCGTAGAGTTGACAACTGAGAGCGGCGAGAATGAGGGCGACTAGTGATGTGCTGAATTGTCCCCAATACTCGGTACCCAATACTTAAAAAAGATTTCGGTACCCTATACTTCCTTTTCGGTATCCGATACCGATTATTTACATTGAACCGTCGCCATTATATGCATTTCAGGTTTAGAAAAAACTTTCATTACTAATTTATATGATATCGGCTAAAACACTTGAACTTATCGCTACAGAAAAATGTTATTTGATCAGTTTTAACCTTAGTCGATCCAAGGTTCAAGATAAATGTTTTGACGGATGAAGAAGCTTTTCAGGGGGGAGATCTAACCAGTTAGCGACAAGTTTCGGATCGATATCGTACTTGTTGGTGTAACAATATTTCATATCATACGTCAACAAACCCGATACCGATTCGAAAATTGTCGCTAACTGGTTATAGAATCTGCCCCTAGGCTTCCAAAAATGATATCGTCCGATTCAGCTGGAACAAAAATGCTTCAAACAAGTGAGAGTTTCTCTGCGTTATGGCCTGGAACCGACATATATACATCTTTCATTTGAATCAGTATTAAAAGCTCTATTGGCTCTATTGGCGAGTCTCCCCTGAGCCGTTTTTTTCCATATCTTTGGCCTGTGTGCGCTTTTATTTGAAATCTAAATGTTTTGGTACCGAGTATCGAGAGTATTGGATACATTTTAAATCGTTACCGAATATCGATCAATACTTGAAAGTATTGACTGAGCACATTACTACTGCTGTCTTCTCTACTATGACGTCACCAAAACAGCTGATTCTGTCAAAATCACTGAGAGCGGAGTGGCGGTATCGTCATCGGCGCCACCTCTGTATTCTCTCCACCGTGCCTCTACTTCCTATGAAGTTTTCAAATACTACTGAATGCAATCAACATACTCAAGTACTCTGGAAAAGCGGAATAGTGTTTTATG